AAGGTGTCGAGTGGCCCGACACCGACGCGAAAACTGATTCATCGAGCGATTCTTTTATTTTTTTTTGTCCCCCCTTTTCTTCCTTTTCTTTCTTTGCCCGAACGAAACGCTTTTTATGAGTTCGAAATATTGCGGAAAAATTCGGAAGAGAAGTTTTATAAGTTCGAAATATTTAATAATTTCAATAATATTTTGTACGTCGATAAAATCTTTTATGAGAGGAGAGGTGAACAAAGGGAAAGGAAGGAGAGAAGGAAATAAAAGAGGAGGAGATAAAACTGGAGAGTAGTGGGAAAAAGTAGCGAAATGTTAGTGTGGAAGGTTAGACGAATTCGAATAGGAAGCTGACCTTCGTGCTCTGTCTCTCTCTGTCTCTCCGTCGAGGTTTTTCCCAGAAGAACAGTTTTGCAGAAGAGAGTTTCGATTCATCTCGCGAAGCGACACGCGCTGTCCGATAGTGAGTCAGCGGGTTGCGGCATTGACCAGTTCCCTCGGACAAATATCTTGAAACGAATTGCCGGATGGACCTTAACATAATTTCAACGTATCGTATCCATTCGTATAGGATACGAGAGAATCGTAATGTATGAATCATACTACGCAATTATTCGAGTAAGTTTATTTACATACATCACTCGATTCTTGCAATGTTTCTGTTTCTTTTCCTGTCATAAACCTCGATTATACTTGAATGTTCCAAATGTTTACATCAAAATTGTTCGTTATATATACATTTTAGATTTTATAATTATTTCTTTATTATATAAATTATATAGATATTTCATATTAGATATTTGATTGATCGTCGAATTTGAGTTCGATCCACGGTATACGATACAGAAAGAAATTAGAGATTGACAAATTATTTGGAAATTTATAGATAACGAAGTTAGGACAGAAAAAAAAAGAAATTACTTTCTCTCCTAAGTTTGAAACACTTACAAAGTAAAGTTAATCAGCGTAACGTTCACTAACGATCACTAACTACTACTAAATCGAACCACTTACTTCGACTACGTTATTCGAAGAATTATCTACGATGCTTCGAAAAAGCGTTTACTTCTTTTTTAAAAAATAAAAAAAAAGAACCGTGAGAAAAATATAAAGAAGCGTGATATTTGCCTGATATTTCGCAACGTCGAACGATTCAACGAGCGTACGTACGAGGAAATGTTGAAACGAAGAAAAGGACGAAGCCCAGCCAACGAGCAGATGCGCTCGCAACGACGTGCGGAGCGCGAATGCGCGACGGGAGCCGCGCGCCGTGTCTCCTGCGCCTCTGCGCACCGCGGTTCGCGCACCGCACTTGTACGCTCTACGTACTCTCTTCCTCGTCCTCTTCCTCGGCAGCGCGACACCGACCCTCGAGGACTCGCGCGACCGACACGATCTAAACCAACCAGAGATCCATCGCGTGCCTCGAATACGCGAATTCTATCCGACAATCTTTCCTAATACGAATACGATAAAATAAAATAAAAAAAAAAAAATAAAGAAAGAAAAAAGCAAGCGTCCTCACCGATTACGACCTCGAATCTCCATCTCCTTCTCCACCAAAAAAAAAAAAAGAAAGAAACCGAAACGAAATGAATCGAAAGATCTACGCCTAAAACACGATTCGAAGGAATCGGAATAAAATCGGAGAAAGAAGAGAAGAGACAGAGATCGCGAAAAATGCGAGCAAACGCGAGCGAACGAGCAACAGCAGCAGCAGCAGCAGCAGCAGCTCGGTGATTGACCATTGCCAACCAATTGGAAGGAAAGACGAAGAATCTTGAGAGAGAGAGAGATAATAAGGAATAAAGGGATAGGAGGCGAGTGCCGAAAGAAGAAGACGAACGAGATGAGAGAAACGAAAGCAGAAGGGCGCGCGGAGGGAGGGGGAACGACGACGCGAGGAGAGAGAGAGAGAGAGAGAGANTGATTTTTGAAGGGGACAGAGGAGAAAGAAAAGGGATAAAGAGGAAAATATCACACACACCCGCGCGCGCAGAGAGAAAGAGAGAGATAGAGAGAGGGAGCCAGACAGGGAAAAGGACAGGGACGAGAAAAGAAAAGGAGATCGCGCTCTCGGGTACGCTCGATCGCTGCGAGGGTGCGAGAGAGCGGCGAGGAAAAGGTAGAAATTTTTCTCCTTGTAGACGACTCGCTCGAGAGGGGAAGGCGACGGAAAAGAGAAAAGAAAGAACGAGAGAGAAAAATCGTTTCGGGGACGATACGCGCGTACGTATTTTCGAAACAAGTGACCGAACGTTCATCGAGGCTCGTTAAAGAACAGTTCCAGTCCAGGGAAAAGAGATCGCGAGACCACGTTTCTTCGTATACCGCGACATCGTTATTTATCGATATCGAATCGAGCCGGCCATCCGGAAGAACACGTCGCCGGACAGGATCGTCGGGGTCGTCTGTCGTTGACGACCGTCCTGGATAGGTAAGTCTCAAAAAAAAAAAAAAAAAAAAAAAAAAAAAAGAAAGAAAGAAAGAAAAAAAAAAAAAAAAAAAGAAAGAAAGAAAGAAACAAAGTGTGGATCATTTTTATTAGTGTGCGATGGAGAAAAGGGTGGAAATTGTAATTATATTTATATAGTGTCGAGTACGTACGTTTCGTATGTAACGACTTTGTACCTCGATCTGGTGTTACCATAAGTGATCAAGATCAGTGATTCTGTTGCGCTGTGCTCTCACTCGCGGACCACGCATCGTTCTCCTGCTCCACTTCGTCGTCGTCTTCGTCTTCGTCGTGGATTTTAATAAAAAAAAAAGAAAAAGAAAAAAACGAAAGAAAGAAAGAAAGAAAGAAAGAAAGAAAGAAAGATGTGACAAAGAGAAAAATATTAATAATAACGATAAATGTGTGCCTCGCGAGAGGGATACGTTGATCTGAAAGTGTGCTTCTGACAAGGAAATTACGTATATATATATATATGGTTATTACGTGCAAGGGATAAGAGGTCTTGGAAGAGTAAGCGTAATCGTTCGTTGTCGTCGAGCGATAATACGAACGATCGCTATACGTGCGAAGTGATCCGCTTAGCTTTCAAACGCGATCGTGAGTCGTGAGAAGGGATCGATAAATCCGCGCCGGGTGTAAAATCGCTTCGTAACGGCTCGACGCCCGATCGAAATACACCTGTTACGTACACCTACGCGTTCCAACTCGCGACAACTTTACGAACGAGAAATTCCTCGATACGTAGAAATAATTCATCCCCCAATAGATTATACAAAGGAAAGGAAAAGGAAAAGAAAAGAACATTTTTCAAAAAGGAATTTTGAATTTTCGGGAATATAACGGGAATGGAAATTTTTCGCCACGGGGGTTACGATCGTTAAAGGAGATTTTTCCGGTGTGGGTGAGCGGCTCGCGGTCGGAGGCTGGACCGGTTCGACTCACGGAACGGAGTCAAAGAGGGCCCGGGCCTAAATAATTCAACGCGGCGGTACAATAGGTATGCGTGCCGACTTGCAGCCGTGAAGGCTAGCCGTACGTGCACGAACACCTCGTACAATTAAGAAACCGTGTCTGAATACCGAGGCAAACACGGCCGATAGGTGAATACCAAGCGAATCTCGACGCAACGCGTCGCCGAATCGATCGGAATTTGAAAGATCGGTATACGAAACGAAAAAGGCTGCTTCCGTAGCGAAAATGAAAACGAATATTTCGAGGATTCCTTCTCCAACTACGCGGACTATAGAACATACCGATCGAATCTCGTCGACCGACGAGTCCGCAGCGATTCGTGAAATCGATCGAAACCGAAACGCTATCGAAACGACTGAAACACCGAAAGAATTCCTCGAGAGATGCATTTCAAAGATTCCCCAAGATTCGAGTTTGCAGGCTATTCGGTATAGGGTATATAGATTCGGGTATCCGAAACGGGAGATCCGATCGTTCCTTCGGTCCCCCTAACAAAAGGGGGGCGAGGGAGGGGGAACAGAGTCGAAACGGTATCGATTTTCCCGGAGGCAGGTCCGCACGGGAATATAAAAGTAGGGTCCGCAAAGGTGGAACGCGAACCTGGCATAATGAGTCAGAAGAAATTCCAGGGATCGGTATATATAATGGATCGCGGCGAAGGGCCGGCAGACGAAAAATGTAAACTAGAGGAATCTAGTTGGAGGCGCACGATCCTTCTTCGTATCCCGTCGGCCGACGTTCGCCCTTCGTTAAATCGAATTTTCAATATCGACGACGACGACGACAATGACGACGAGCAAGTTAGACGAAGGAGCAAGATGCATCGTTATAGAGGGGAAAGAGTCGAACTCGTATGAGCATCGAACAAAATATAATAAAATTCCAATTTCTTAATAATAATTCCTTAATTTTAACGTTGCATTTTAATACGATGAACGTAACGTAACGCATGATACATTTCGAGTGAAATCGATCGATGGTAATAACTTCTCGTGTTTCGACGGATTCGAGTGGAGTTTTATCGCGTATTGAATCCTTGAATTTATCTTAAACTTTATTATCGCGAATCGAAAATTATTGGACGAGATTTTATTGGCGAAACGAGGTTCGTCGATACGGGGGAATTTCTGAGAATGGATCGGGTCGGTCGGGAAGTATTCGTACAGGGGGAGAACGAGATTCGCTCCCTCTCGCGGGGAATAAAGAGAAGGCGAATTTGTCACGGTCGAGGTACGTTGAAGAAGTTACGATTGCATTATGAACCGTGATCAGGAGTGTAGGCGAGCGTGCGCTCGTTTCTCGATCCGTTGGCATACCGTGAATCACCTTTTGCCAGGAAACGCGGGCTTTCTAATCAACGATTTAACTTTGCTTCTCCGCAATAACGACGACCAATTAATTACGCGACCGCGCTCTTTATCCGCTAATTATCGCGTGGAAACGAGTTGTTTTATACCGTGTTACGAATTTTCATGAGTCTCTTTCCAGGGTTCGATAACCGATCGTACTTAACCGTGTACGATATACATATGTATTTCTTTTACTCTCTTACGATACGCCAGCTTTTGATTCAGCTTTTCATTTTTTTTCCACTTGTCAGATTTGTATATAATCTTTTTTAACTTTTACGTGCAAATATATTATAAGATAGGATTTCGGTTTAAAGCGATCCGAATTGAGAATCAAACAACCATCGACATAATTCGTCGCGTTGCGTTAATATTCTGCATTGGACGTTAATTTTGCAATTATTGGTTCCGTCGAAATTGAGAAATGTTGAAAAATCGCGACGATTCCTTCCCTTTTGCAAATTCCTCTTTTGCAAATATCGTTCCAAAAAAAAAAA